GCACAGCGGAGACGGCTTTAATGAGGAATGGATCTGTCACACGTAACGCTTTATAACTTCAGGGAGCAATATAAAGAAATTCATTAATGAATCAGTACTATACCAGTCTGCTGGAACCATATTTCCGCAGGGGTAATTAAGCTTCTGTGAAGGTCAGCAACAAATGGCTCTGTCTTTTATGAAGGCTTTTTTGGAGTGGGCATACGATGTTCTGCCAGACAGATTCTCATGTTGGCATTCGACTGGATGAGGAAGCACGCTGTATTAGAGCATTTTAGGCCTGTCTTTTCATGAGATGGCTCTCCTTGCTTTTTAAGTATGCAAATAAAGCCACAAGTTTCAGAAGAGGATTCAGCAAGAGACTCTCTTTGTAACTTACCCTTTTGTGAAGCATGTGGATCTCCGACAGGTGGGCTTAACTATGTCTAACAAAAAAGCATAGCGCAATAAGGCCTTTGGTGCTAAAAAATACTGACTCATTTCTTCATTATCCTCTTCCAGAAAATCTTTTAGCACTTGAATAGAGGAATCATTGTCCTGACTATGCTTCCTTTCTATTTCTTCTGCTGTTTCAAGCTTAAAAAGAAAGGCCCCTTTTGCTAAGTTCTTCTTGCTGCTGCAATCAGGACCGGTGCTTGGATCCAAATTCCTCTCTTTACAAAGCAAGGAAGAACTAGTTTCGTCCAGGCTGTCAGCAACTTTGCTCTTGAGTAAGTCTTTTAGATTTTGATCTGGAAACCTTGTCAATACCTAAGGAGAAACAAATAGTGAGCAAAAAAAATAAAGAATTGCTTTGATATCACAATAAATAACTGTAGAATCTGCAATAAGAATTCCTTCACAAATGCTCAGAATACAGTTAACTATTACTTCTTTGAGAATTTAAAAAGATTTTGACTTGAAGATTTGCTGATGATTGCAAAGAATCATTCTCACAAAAATATATTTCCAAGGTTGTGAAAAGGGTAGCAAAATGCAGTGTTTTCTAAGCTGTAAACAGCTTCCCAAAACTTCCAGATTGCTCTAAGCCATCTCAGCCAGTTTAGGCATTTCAGCCTTTAGAAGACTCAGCATTTAGCAAAAAAAAAAAAAAAACACCCTTTTGTGTTAATACCCCTAATCCAAACAGACTGCTTCACCGAAAATTTAACCCTTAATCTTCATAAAATAAACTAAATTTAACTAATAGAAATTAGACTCACCTCCCCAGGAGACTGGAAGGAAAATGGTGTTGGGTGAAGCTTTGCAATTAGGAAATATCGCAGCCTAGAATTAGGAATGCCAAGCTGTAAGTAAAATCCACAAGCCATTAGACCATGTGATACAAAGAAGACAGGTCATCTTGTCACAGGTCACTAGATTTTGTCATCATAGAAGGGATATTGTCACTAAAGTTATATACCATTTATTTACAGTAATAAAACTGTCACACGAATATATCTTGCCATTTTGAAGCTATCAGAATTAATTGATAATACCTGAGCACTTGTACTGAACCCATGAATTTAACTTCTATGACTAAGGTTCCTCAAGCAAACAAAACAAGTGAATTGGTTTTCTTTTCATGGTTTTGACTTTCTCTCTAAATGAACAAACATTTTATGAGTAATGTAAATGTAAACAAACTTTTTACCTAAGGTAAGAAAAAAAATGACATTATTATCACAATTTCTCGCAATGGACACTATCTGTTTTCATCAAAAAAGTAACATGGTGTTTTACTGCCACTTTAAACATGGAACTACACAAGGGATCTAACAATGAAATCAGTGCACAACAATTCGTTTTCAATCTACTCGTTAGAAGCTTCTCTCAAATAGCCATAGCACTCCATCCATTCCAGTTAGGAAATTGCACAATTAGGACTCTCCCTGAATTCTTTTTGCATTTGCCAGGGAAGTAGTCAAACAAGAGCCCCTCCGCCCACACAGGCAAGTTTTCTGCACTGGGAAGATGATGGGAATCGGCACTTCCAAAGTCACGAGGCTCCTGTTGGGAAAGCTACGTTCCTAGTCATAGTGTAAATTCGTGCTTCTTTAAAAAACAGCTATGACTGCAAAGAAATACAGGGCTGGGTCCTCAACAGTAACAGCAGCACAACTGAGGCAGGATGAGAAGCTATGCCAGATAGCTCTCTCATTCAGAAGAATGTCTTCAGCACTGGGCATCACCCTCTTTATTCAGCACAGTAAATCATTCTCACATTCCCCTGAACTCAACACACTTTGAAAACTTAAAGTGATATCAGTACTCACACAGGTTGGAGACAAGAGAAATTCTTGATATTTAAATCCACATGTTTCTAGTGTTTGCAAAAGTTCATTTCTGCCAGTGAGAAGAATCAAAAAGCAATTATTCCTCTCAAAAGCACTTATACACCCTCAGGCCCCTTTTCATCCTAAATAAAAACACATGAAATGCAATAACTTAAGTACTAAAGACATTCATCAGATTCACTGAAGGAACCAGAGAATTACAGGTATGAAGTCATCCATTTGTGCATTACAGGAGACAATTCCCTGTGTTCAGATGGTGTTACACTAGCTAACTAGTGACCAAGACACACCCACAGGTAGCCCATAACTACTTTGGAGGAAACCCTCTTTCAAAAAAGAACCCATCTCTACAGAAGTATTTACAACATGTTGGAAGGAAAAAAAACAGAGGGTAAGATATACTCTACATCATGAACTATAAAACAAGAAAATAAAATTGCTACAGGTAGTTCACTACTTTGCTCTGTTCATACTCAGCCAAGCCTAGTGGGAGTGATCATTCAAAGGATGACAAAAATTGGTAGCTTTGATAACCAAAGAGAGGCAGGACTGTATCAATAAGCACAGGGAAATCCACTGAAATCAAAGTCTGCCTATGACAGACTTGTCTTCACTATTCTTTGCAAACTGTAGAAAGCTACAATTACATAAAAATTAACAGCTGAGACTTGTACCTGGTTCTGGCAGATGTCAAAAGGAAAAGCAGGAATTTTGTCTGGTATGTTTTCTGAGCTACAAATTGTTTCAACCACTGGGTAGCAAAGCAAATCTCAAGCAATTTTAGGGACAACAGCAGCAGTTTGAATCTCCAGCGTGTGTTCACAGAAGACTCGTGCGTGCTTTACCCAGCTAGAGCTGGACATGCCTCCCCGTGCCCATCATATTCACGGAGGAGCACGATGATACGCAGGCTGGCCCCTCTCTTGTTACTTTGGGGAGTGCTAGGAAGAGATCCTACTCTAAACCTCCAAGTGAAAAACCCAACTACAACTCCCTCCCTCCTGCTTTGCCTACAAGTCAGGAGAATGCCCCTGCTGTCACTAGGTAATCTCACTGCCACCTCTTCTGTATTTCAAACCAAAGTTATAACCATTTTCAAACCATCTCTCTTGACCATTTGATGTCAATACTGAACCAGTTATAATCCAGTATCAACAAAGGTGCTGAACCAAGTCAGTACAATTCACTCCGATCTCAATACAAGATGCCATGAGATTCTGTCAAGCATAAAAAAACATACTACATACTTTTATTGTTTTCTTTGAAAACAAATACTCTTCCTTTCTAAAGGATACAAGCTCATGGAAGATGAACGAAAGAGTTAACTTGTTCAAGTTATAACACATTTTATCATCTCAGCTGCTTAGAGAAGTAATCTTTCAGCAAGCTCCTTTCAAATCCTAAGATTTTCTTTCCTAAATTAAAAAATATATATAATAATAATAATCCACAGCTGCTAACTGTCCTCACCTCACACCATATTTTCTTAACTTCTAGGAAATAAAAATCCTGCTTTCACCTCTTAAAAAATGTCCTTTATTAAAAAGGTAAAACATGCGCAAGTTAGATTTCACCTTGCAGAAGAGGATTCAAATCCTTTAACATTTTCCAAGAGTATGTATTTTGGAAGCTTCTGGAGCCTACAAGGGAAAAAAAAAAAAGACACAGGAGTTAGGTGTAGACTATACTTGTATTACAAGACAAATTTGTTTAGCTGTAAAATAAGATCAAAATATTTCCATGCCAGGTTAATGGCAAAAGGCAATCCCGAACAAATGTACTTTAAAGGTAGCCTAGATCAAGTAATGTCCAATGAAATTAGAAATGTGGACTACTGTTGGTAACACCATCCCCCTGAAAAAAAAAGTCTTTTTTTTTCAAATAGAATGTGTAATACCCCATCTCTACCACATGCACATATCTTTGAAAATGTTTGCCACTGTTTACTTCCTGAAGCATAGGTTTTTTATTCAAAAGGCTGATAACTGTCAAGGGGAAAAAAATCAGTATTCATCCTTGGAACAAGAAACTTTTTAAGTGCACAAACTTGAAATCAATGTCAAAGTGTGACATCAAGGTTAATAATGTAATACCACAAACAGAATTCATTTAGTTGCTTTAAAAAATACTACATTTTCAGAGCTCAAACAGCAAATATTCTTCATTTATATAATTCATATTTTCATATGTGCAGGGGGAGGGAAAGGAGGCTCCTGAGGTTTAGTGGCTTCAGTGCAGAAGTCTGGAAACATACTGATTCTGGAATGAACCTATTAAATCTCTGGAGAAAGGCATATGCCAAAACTAGAGAACGTTCTAACAATTTAAAAGCAGAGACGATTCAGATTTCAATGTTTAGGCTTGTTCTCTGTACTGATTAATACTCTCGTAAGGCTAACAGACACAGTCTCTGTGCCACACATGGGATCTAAAAAGAGTGCATGGGAACAGAAAAGTAATGATCCCAGAAAGAAGTCAGTAAGTGACTTCAGACTTGTACTACTGTAAATTACAGCAGAATTTATTTTATCGCATTCTTAATTGCCATCAACTGAAGAAATTCAAAAGAAGAACTAAAAATCTAAAATATTTCACAAGAAATTGGGAAATATATAAGAAGATACTAAAATGTAAAAATATTAAATATTAATTAAAAATATTAAAAATGGCAGTGAACTAAAAAAGGAGGAATCAGCCAGATTCCCTGCAGAGGAATGGAGAATATACCTGTAGGTGTGTTCACCCCCAAACAACACCTCCATCAGCTACTATGAAGCTTATTTGTAAAGTAATGAATGCAGAGCATATGCAGAAATGCAAGAGTTGGTACAGAATCAACAGCTGACAAGGAAAATAAACATTGCACAGGGAGGATGTGTTAAGTACTTGGCATGTTTTAACATTATGCCTGTAAAATTGCCAAACCTTGATGTATTAGCATTACATTTCACTGGGTTATGGCTTGATCACAATAAATAGATAGTATCCCCACCATCTGGGTCAGACTTCATACTCACTGGCTAGAGGGAACAGCATTCACTGCCAAGCACTCTCAGGCCCTGAACTTGTCCTTTCCTTGCATTTAATATTGCTCTTCTCAATCTATCTTTGAGCCTCATTTATGCTACATTTCATTATGGAAATTCTTCATGTAGGAAGAACCAAAGGATAGGAAATCATTTTATAGTTTCCACAAAGTGTACACACACTGTTCCAAAATAGAAGGTGAAGTGATAATTCCTATATGCCGAATTTCCCCTTTTTTGGCCTGAAATACTGCATAGTCAATGTCTGGCAAAGACGTCACTTCCAAAACATACACAAACACTATCTCAGCAAAACATAAATCCATTAGAACTGGGAAACTGCAGAAACCACCATCCTGAGCATACTGGAGGCTGCTTACAGCAAGCGCTGCTTCACAGAACCGACGTGCCCAGGGGAGATAAGGGATGTCGGGAGCGCCTCATGGGGTGCCCAGATAAAGCCGGAGGAGCCCAGGGCCTCTGCATCGTCATGGTCACGGGGAAGAACACGTGTCCTGCCACCTCGGAGCCTCTGCTTCCAAGAAGGGAAAGCCCCAGCCCTTCACGCAGCTAAGCCCACGGCAACCAGGAAGCACCACATGCACATTAGCGGCCCCAAAACAGTCATCCCCTTAACTGAGCCTCAGCCTAATGGAAAGGAACACTGAGGACAGGATCCCCTTAAGGACAAGGAAGATGCTACTATTCTGACAAATGATTAACCTAGAGACTATCTGCTGGTTTTAATTTAACATTTAGAAAGATCAGGGTGCAGGTTATGTTCCTTGTTCAAACAAAAAAACCTTTTACAATTTTTAGAAAGCTACCTATTTTTCTGTCTCTAATAAAAAAGGGGGAGCAGTAACAATTTTTCTTTATGTTTTTTTGTCTAATTCACTGGACTACAGAATCTAGTCAATGGATTTCTTGTGTTTTCTAGCCCAGATTTATTGGGAGATCTCAGCCAAATCACTCACAGGTGTCTAGGTTCTCCACAGGCAAGAAGAAAGAGGGCATCTGACTGATGCTGCTGGCTGCAGCAAAGCTGTTCCTGGAAGGAGGGCAAAGACCCTCTTCTCCTAGAGGTAACAGCAGTTTCAGAGGAAGTCTGTTGATGGTGCTGGTTTCTTTCTGTGCAAAAAGATTTTGTAGGGAGATGGAAAAAAAAATACACACAAGGCAGCGAGACCTCTCCTCCAGCTCTAAGGGCAAAGACTAATTTAGATCAGGAACGCACACTTTGCTTGGATTTACTGCTTCAAAGGGGAGTGCATGAACAATACCGACAACTATGGCTATTTTATTATGAACTGCGGCTCCAGACAACAAAAGTGGTTGATGACCACAGAGCATACAGTGCTGTTTAGACAGTTCAGCCCTATTTGAAATTTTTGGTTGTACTACTCAAGAGATTGTACTAGGAATGGAAAATACACACTCTGCCCCAAGGCAGCACCGAAGGGTCAGAATATTGACTGAGGAAGAAGAAAAGGGGAAGGAACATGTATTACATTTTGCAGCCAGTAAGAGATTTAATCAAATACTATCAAATGTTATCTCTTCAAAACATGGAAGTTTTATGTTGAACTGAACATAACTGAAAATAAACAATATCCAACCTTTTTCATTTAGTCACAATTTAAACAAATATACAATAAAAAAGACATATACGATGATAATGGTTACATAAGTTGCACAGAGTCACATGAAAATAAATGATTAACACTATATTACAAGCAAAGTTAATTTATACCTTGGGAGAATATCAAGGATATAGAGAAAACTCTTTGTCCGTGGATCAGATACATCCCCCTGCAGACCAATTCTATGAAAGAATAAAGAAACATCTGTGTATTATTTGGAGTAGACCATCATCCGACTTTCAGTTTTTCTACAGAATGCTGATGCTCTCCCTTTGAGTTTTAGAAGGGGTTCTGCAACAGGCATCATGTCCAGACATGAGGACCTACTCACAGGGACAGTGTCCTAAGAATTGTTCTGAGGAATGAAAGTCTGCCCTGAAATCCATCAGCTCTAAGTGAGGTTACATTTGACAGCATTCGTAATGAAATCCCCTCCCCATTTAATATTCTTGTCTTAGGCAGCAAAACCCTTGGTTATTCCAAACCCACAAGAAAACTCACTGCAGGCCCTGGAAATACTTGGCTGTTATACATTCAATATGTTCAGTGTTTTCTATGAATTAAAGCTTTACCGCTCCAATTTTGCAGGATTGAGTCCCTTGTGAATGACTTTGCTAATGGGACTAATTTCGTAACACTAAGCTCGGCTGCTTATGTGACTTAATTACTGCAGACCTGTGTTCCTCTTATAACTGTATCAGCTCTTGAAAAGAACAAAACCCTGACAGAGGAGCATTGGTACATCTTTAAATTACCTAAGCACAGTTTTCTTCTTACCATGTTATAAAAGAAAAAATAATGAAGAACTCCCTGACTCCTATATACACCATATGTTCACACAAGCACATTTGTAAAAATAGAATTGAGAAAATAAAACCTATGTGTATATCCAGAATCTGATTCTCTTAATCTAGGCTAAGATAGGAATATTCTTCAGAATTAATTATTTGTACACATGTGCAATTTTTAATGCACAAGAACACCCTCCATTCTTAGTCACACATAAAACAGAGGACCTCCTTCTGGAGTTACCCCAGTGAAAGATCAGACTGATAAATAAAGGAAAAGAAAATAAACATAAAGAATAAAATCTTTGAATTTCACTGATAGAGAAGCCGTAAGTATAAATTAGAGGCTGTAATAAGCTTAATTCATTTTAAGTGTCTTAAAATACACATTAAAAAATAAAGAACAGTAATTCAAATTCAAATTATTCTATTTCTTCCACTCTAGTAAATTTCATGTCAATAAGGCCAAAAAAAGGTTAATTGAAGAGACCAAGATACAAAGAGGAACCACATAGTTTCACTCTTGGAAACATTTCCATGTAGCAGTACACCTAACAGCAGCACGTTTCTCTGAATGTGCTATACTTACCTTGTAAATGGCTGACAGGGAGGACTCATCAATATCATATCAAAAGATAATCTGTCAAATTCTTTCAGTGTTATGCCCTGGAAAAGGGGGGAAAATGGGAGCTGTAAGCTGTATTGTACTTCAAACTCTTCCTTCAGACCAAATTATCCCATTACTTTTAAGACATCTAGTAAAAAACTCCCTAATCTTCCTAATAACTTAATTCTTGCCTAATGTTTGGCAAACCACAGAATACAAATATGCACCAACTGCTTTGACAATGAATCAAAACCACTGATGATCCACATACAATCTTTTCTTAATGTAAGCACTCTTGCAGAAGACAGGTGGTAGTCTGTGGTTCTTCCTACGGACCACATCAAACCACTGACTAGATATTCTCCCCATCCACCTGCCAAATAAAGTATCATTACTCAGACATTAAATATTGGTAACTCAGAATTTATTATGATATCAAAAACAGATGAAAAATACTTTATCTTCTCAAGTGACAAAATATCTGAACAGAAAAATCGCTCAAGTGTTAACTTGATCTGGAAAAAAAAAAGCATAATCATTTTTTGTACATTTTTATACAAAGACCCAAAATTGTGGGTCTTTGATCAAAGACTGGATAAAAGGGTTTTGCTGAGGATATCTTCATGAAAGCTAAGGAGACTTTCCCATGCAAACCATGTAAATGCAGACAAACCCCAAAACAGCATCACAGCTCCTAGGTTACCATCCCAAACAACACCATGGCACACACTTCCTAAGAGTGCTTCTGGCTCGATCTGTCCTTCTATCCTCTGAATCCAACAACCACACAGTTATCCTCAGTATGGTGTCCTATTTCTACCCCACCTGCAGCACAGAAATTCAGAGATTAACATCTACACACCTGAAAAATACTTAAAATCTAATCTGTGTGAAAATATAAGATTTTCTTCAGAAGACTGAAAAGAACAGTGCCTCAAACAATTTCTCTTTTAATATGATGACAATACAATTGCTTTTGCTTTCTAGTCTCTGTGTACAGGTTTTCTGTGAACTGATTTGTGAAGCAGAATTCTGGTAATCTTACTGTAAGCTTTAGCAAAAAGAAACAGCACCTTTTCACAGCAGTATATTGAAGTTGCAGGGGAATTTTAGAAAAATGCATTATATAAGAGGTAAATTTGGGATATTTTTCCAAGAAAGACTTATTTCTCACTGGGAAAAAAAGGAAAAAAAAAAACATTCACGCATATACACACATATACACACATATATATATTTCAAAGCAACAGTAGCTTTGAGATACCAGAAACAGAAAATCGTGTATATGGTACATGTTATGACCAATACCTAAGTTATTCTTAGAGAGAAGGATCTTAACTCTTAGGAGGTCACTATCAACATTCCAGGAAAAGTTTATGTAGCCATCAGAGTAAAAGTCCCACAAAGCAATGTCCAAAAAAGACAGAATAAGGTCTGTGGTACAAACTAATTATAGAGATTAAAAGTTCCCCTTGTTTAAGCAACACTAAAAGATCAAAATATTAAAGGACCAAAAAGAGATATATAAGCTAATGATAAGTAACTACAGTGTAGACAAAGAAATAATTGCTTTAATTATTTAGGTATCTTTGCACAATGTAATGTAATTGTCTGCAGAAATGAGACAAAAGCTGCTATTTTTTCCAACACATTTAGAGGTCTTACTGACTGTAAACAGCTCTTATCTATTATAGTGACATATAAGTGAATCTTCTTTTCTCATATAAAACTGTAAATTATCTTTAGTTATCACCAAGTGCTGAATAAGCAGCTAACCTTTAGCCACCTACATAATTCTTACCTAAGCTTTGTCTTGAAACAAATTCAGAATTCTTTACTGTCATATTGTAAAACTTTAAAATGAAATTATAAAGTAACTTCTAGCTAATGTAATTATTAATAATTTCTAACTACACCACGGAAAAAACATATCTAGATTGCCACTCAAACTGGTTATTAAAACAAGAGCCAATTTTACCAAATTCTTTTAATATAATTTGGAAATGGGACAAGATTACTAAAACATTTGATCTTTTAAGCCCCTTCAAAAATTAGTATTTTCCTGTCCAGTATATTTTCCTGTGCTTTACTGAGCTCAACTATAACTGCATAAGGAAGACATGCCTGCTAGTGATTTAATTAAATTATTTTCAAATATATGAAAATATTTCTTTTAATCTAATAATATGATTTTCATCATTCCTTTAGAACTGGTAAGCACTTTTGTTGACATTCACACAGCCTTCCCTGATGCAGTAATCAAGACTTTCAGGAGAAGATCCCACTGTGAGTTATGTCTCTACCTCAATAAGCAGTCACAGTGCTTCTAAGGAGTCAAAGACACTTTAAGGCTGCGATCTTCCCAATGCCATAAATAATGTTGTTTCTCCTTGTTAATAATGTGGTAAACAGCTGACAAACAAGTTAATTCTAGAGATGCCAGGCTAGAGGAGAAAAGACATTCATTACTCACCTCAATTGTTTTTGCCCATAGTGGCGTGCTGGGAAAGTTGTGTTTATAGACCTCATTGGCAAGAGTGTTCACATCAACGGCAGCAACAACTTCTGCAGACACACAGCTACCTAAAATTAAAAGAGGAACTTGAGAACTGTAGCTTTGCTATTTCACTCTAGAATGAGTTATTTCAGCTGCATTATAACTATATTCAAAAACAAAATGGAAATTACATGATCAAATTTTGCTGCGCTGCCTTTAAAACTTTGTATGAAATATATAACATATTTACTAATTGCATGATCAATACTTCTCTTCCTTAAATATCCAAAAAGGGAAGCTAACGGTGCACATTTTAATTCGTAGCTCCTGGCACACATAAACTCCAACCAGGGAGTATTTCCACAGTATTCCCATCCGCATGGCCTTGGTCTCTGCAACAACAGACTTCCTTAGTCACAGGAATGTGGCCTGACTCAACCTGGCGAGCCAGCAGCAACTAACTGAGCTTCTCGAGCTGCTAATGAAAACTTGGTGCATAGACTTCAAACATGTTATTTTAGAAGCATACCACTTCTCTTTGTGAGAAAAAGAGCATCAGTAAATTCACGGGTATGTATGTATGCTCTTGTATTAAAGCCTTCAGAAAGGACATGAAAAAAAAATGTGCTCAGATTCAGAAAAAGCTTGAACCTAAACACAGCTTGTCTGGGGTCCACCACGAAAGGTCCACAAGGAAAAAGCTAAGATAGGAAAAAAAAAAAAAAAAAGAGGAAAAAAAAGAAAAGAGAAGACCGCCAATTAAAGATCTACATAACCACCATAAACACACAAGTTACTGTCTTGACATTTTGATTATAAGTTTTACCTGAGGTTATTACACACAGGTGTACCCACAGTGACAAGAGAATGACCATACCTGAGATTACAGAACAGGTAAGTTAACACTGACATCTAGCGTGTAAAGCACATGCACTATCTAACTTTTTACAAGAGCGTTCAAGAATCTGTACTTTCCTTTCATCTTCCTGAAACAAACCTGCAACACTTAAATAATGAAAACAAACTTCGGGTACTGTTTAAGAGCAGGCTCTTCTCCATTTATTCTTTCAGTTTTTAAGACCTGCAGCTCGGACAGATAGATCCTTACCATGTGTTCTAGGACCTCAAAAAATGAATCTAAAAATTGAGAATCTCAAACTATTATCTAAAGCAATGTAGAGTTTAAACATTAAATTGCAAAGGCAAACATTGCGCTTTCCATCACGATTCACTATTCCGAAGTCCATCACTTTTAACTACCAGCACTCCAATCTCTCCCTCCATACATGTAAGAGAAAAGAAATATCAGGGATTTGCATTAAGTGACTTTCATGGGCCCAAATGCCTGGAAATACTGAAAGAGAGCACAAAACTAGTAATTTATTGAAAGCTCTTGTAATACAATTTTCAACCTAAACAAGAGACGTCACAGAACCTACTTCTCCAAAGAACTTCCTACAACTCTAACAAAGAAAAGAACGTGGCTCTGGGGACATTTGGAAAAAGAGTAAGTCCCATACTAATTAAATTGCAGACAGGGGCAGCAATCAAACTTTGGCCCCCAATTCTCTACTCTGTTGTATGCAGGACGCTTGAAAGACATTCCAGCCATGCAAAAGTTATCAGAGTGAAAGGAGCACTACTGTAATGATCTGAGGGTGCAGCATCTGCAACAAAAAGTTAGGATGCATGTGCAGTTTCCAGTTTCAAAAAGCAACCCCCAAATTTCTAACACAAACATATATGTCCTTTCCCATTTCAGAAGCATTGATTCCTTTGTCATGTGTTTCTACCAGACCTTAAAATTAACATGGATCTGTTTATATTCACCACTGCACTTTTGTGCTAGAATCATCAATAGAAATACAGCACATGAAACACAGTACATCCCAACAAGGGCACAGCTTGTTAGATCTCAGTGTATTGGGAAATCACAGCCAAACCAATTATCTGTTCCAACAGGTATATGGAAACAGATGGAAAAGGGAAGATTAGTCACATATTGTGCCAGTTCTGTTTCCTTTTAAAATAAGCAGGAAAAATTTCATTTGAGCTGTCAACTGTTGGCTGAAGAGATTAGGCTGTCTATGACTCCAGTCAACACTATTATCAGCAAACCTGATACTTGCTTCCTGCAGGATACTTGGTATCTTTTTTTTCCCTTGCTCTATTCATACACAATTTGTGCATGTTCAGCAGTATAAACTATATATTATTTTTCTTAATTTAAAATTTATTATAGAATAATTTGGCCATAAAAGCTTACTCAAATAAGCAATACTTCTATTTTGCAGTGTGTTTGTGAGCTTTGCTTCCTACTTAGTGCAGCTGTGCTCACTGATAGCGCACACATCAGTTTAGTAGGATGCACAATACAATGAGATAATCAAATAAAATGAATAAAAAGAGAGATTCCAAAAGACTCACACTCTCACTCTTTAAAATTTAAAAGTTACACAGTAAAATTATCACTAACTTTATCACTAAAAAAATCACTATAGTACTTTTTAAAAGCTGTCTGAGCAGATTTTATGCACAAAGGCATTTGAGTGTTTTGGTTTTTAGGGGGGAGGCAAGGAAAAGGAAATGTTTGTTTTTGTGACCTGCCAGACTATAAATGCTTGTGGCAGAGCCCTGGAATACATTTTTCTTGGGAAAACTGCCTAAATTAATAGGCCACGTTAAATTTGTTTTGGTTTGGGAGAAAGAGCAGGCTGTTTGTTTGATGGAAAGTTGCTATGGAAATGAATTTCTAGTCACAGATTTTCTAAAAAAAAAAAAAAAAAACAGTTTTGCAGTTTTCAATGTAGATTCTTTGTACTTTATGTAGAGGCAAACTCTGTGTAATCTTGATAATCTTGTAGGTTTTGACATAAATGATCTAAGTATCTATCTTTATATATCTTCCAAGGGAAAAAATGCACTCCCACCTCGTAGCTGCCTCAATCCTTCAAGCAGAAAAGCACCTGACAGGAATATTCATCTGCTTATATTCACAAATATGCACACACGCACAAACGAAGTCAGCCCTGAACACAGACTATAGAGAAACAGAACAAAATATAAGCCTGAAAGTTGAAAATTCTGCATCACAATCCCAGGTTTGTCAGTGTTCCTCTTTCAAAGTTAATTAAGCTCAGTTTTCTAAATTAAATTTTGTTATACGTCTTTGTCATTAAACATACCATTAAAAAGGAGTCAAATTCTAAAACAAGAAATTCTGCATATGCTGAATTATCTACCCATAAGAAGACAGACAATCCTTAGCACATGTTCTTTTTGAGCTCTGGATTAGTCTTTACATTTAGGAAAAACACTCTCTTCATTGCCAAAGAAAACCTGATTCCACAATGCATGAGCAACTTCCCCTAATTAGCAGACAGGCTGGGATCTAAACCTCTGTAAATTGTCAATAATTATTTCTTAGCAGAGATTTAAACCTATACCTTAATCTGTAAAATCACAATCTCAAAACCAACTGAATACCTCTTGATGACAAATCTATTTTAATGACAATTACCAAAACCAGAAACTTCCTCATCCTGTAAATCCAAATACATGCAATCCTGAAATTCATTTTATGAAAGCCCACAGACAAAAAGGACACCAAGACAAAAAAACATCAGATTTATTGGAAAACATCTACAGTCAACTGAAAATATTGACCATCTCCAGAAAAAAAACAAAGCTGGACTAGCTCTGCTAAACATAACTTGGTGCTAATGTGATTAAGATCAAACACTGACACTCAGCTTGGAAGAACAGTAGGATCCCTTTTGTAGAATAAATATATTTTCTGGAGGGCTCCCACTGAAGGATTCTCTCCTCTCTCTTCGAAAATTTCCTATTACCTCCTCTCAGATCTATGCATTTATGAGAAACCATACAAACAGGATTAAGTACAAAATTTAGCCTTCATTTCTCAAGGAATGGGCTTATGAAAGCACTGATGAAATAGAGGATTCTCTTGCAAGCTTTGTTGTGTATATAAAAGGCCTCTACAATATTTTGGTATTTAATTTAAATGTAAGCTGCCAAACAATCTGCCATTTGCTATATGACATCCAAAAAAAACTTTATCACAGACATTTTCAAATACCATGGTATCATGTATATACACAGGCCTAAAACATACAAGAAACCCTATTATTATATACAAAAGCACTTACAAAGAAGCATTTGCTTTTCCCATTTGAAAGCAAATATTTAAATCCCACTTGCCTTTACTTTGTTTCTTTGTAAACTTTTTATAAAAACTGAATCCAGATGACTAAAAGACATAAAGAGAAAACAACAGGAGGGATCAAAATGCCTGACTTTATCAGGCATTATTCCTGAACGCAATGCATCTCAAAAACAGTGTTACATAATGACTTGTCATGAAATATTTAATTCAGTGGAAATAATATAAAACCTTTTTTGTTCCAGTTGCCTGGCTACTAGTTTTAACAACATTCAAAACAATATTCTCACCTAGAACTGTAAAACTTTACACTTTTTGGAGTCATGGAAATAGGGCAACAGAATGCCTATGGGGAGTTTTGTGTTTCTTGTCACACAGTTCCCAGAAAAATAAGCAGAGTCAAAGTAAGTTAAGCCAAATATGATGCAGTCTTCTATCAATTTGATACACAAATTTAACTTGGTATTTCATGTGTTAGTATTAACTAAGGTTATTAATGCCAATAAGAATGTAAGTCTCATACGGAAAGTCCTTTTGTGGGCCTTGGCTGGTATCACTACAAAAGACCCTTAGACTTAAAAAGACCCCAAATCTCACCCATACTATTAATATGCACTGCAATTTCTTCATTCAACTTTTTGACAACTTCAGAAAATCTTGGAAACAAATCTACCCTTTCTGAGAAGTAGTCTGAGCGTTCTGGATACTCCCTCCCCCTCCATACAGCACCAGACATAAAGGCAGTACGTGCGGCCAGGCCACCTCGTGCACAGCAGCTACCCTTGTGCAATCAATCAGTCCCTATATCTTTCTGGTACAAGTTGCAATATTCGATAACCTCTTCAGGCCACATTCAAAATACGCCTCAATCTTTTAAGTATCTTGCTGCACTCCATCATTAAAAAGTGTTCTTTTAGCTGGAGATTGATAGCCACAGGATATCACATGTGATATTAGAATGTCTTAATTACTGAAGCACAGTCACAAGATGTCTATTATTGTGTTAAGGGCAGAGCCAGATAACATTAGGCAATGTTCCGTTTCCATACATGCAAACGCCAACACATGACAAATAGCTGCATGCAGGGCTACTTTGGAGGCTTTCAAAAATCAGTTCACTCTCTATGGAAATCATGTGTAACATAGCTCCTAATGTATTAGCAGCAAGATAAAGGGGGAGCAATATTATTGTTATATATATGCCTATTAAATATTACATATATTAATACATACATATGCATTATTTATTGTTATCACACATATTACAAATATACAAAAATATGTAGCAGAAAAAAGCCACACCAAAAATTGAGAGTATGCTTTAAATGAATGAATGATAACAAATCGATTCTATTCTATAAGCATAATCTCTCAATAACACACCATTCACTGGAAAAAAAAAATAACAAGACGAGTTTTGACTTGGTGTTCCAAGAAAATGCTCTCTGCTGTACTGTATAACAAAAAGATGCTGAAGCTTACGAAGGCCAAAGGATGTGAAGGCCTGTAGTTAAGAACAGAATTACTAGCGTGTCCTCATAAGCTATATAGATCTGTGCTGAAATCACTGCTTGGGTCAATAACGCTGCTCAATGTCCTTTACAAAGGAGATCAATAGCCCTAATTCAGTATTTTATTTGGGGAAGCCAAATTATGGAGAACCCACAGGATTTTCAGAAGGTCACACAGGCCCTAGTTAACAATTCAGTAAATGCAGCTCCAGTGTTCCTGGTACCAAAATCAAGAAAGCTAGTATGAACACACTATATCTATTCCAATTCCATATTCAGTTTTCCTTTTCAGGAATTGTTATACACCAACCTCTTGCTGCCGGCCTTATGCTGCATCACGTAGGAACTGTCCACCTAACGTGGTGCCACCACAAACACAGAAGCATAGGGGAAACTCTGGCCAAGCTGAGCTGCCACCCCACCTGCACACCCCCACCACAGGGCCGGGACAAGGGTGACTCTGCAGCACCAGCTGCAGGCCCCAAGGGCCCGTGGGGCACTGAGCCCGCACCATGGCGCTCCTGGCCACTCGCTGCAGCCTGTCCTTGGGGATCCG